CCACAGTGTGATCTGGACATCAGTACTGATCCTAATATACAGTTAAGATTGAGAACTTTTCTTGTTTTTTAAAAAGATTTATTTATTTTTATTGCAAAGTCAGATATACAGAGAGGAAGATCTGTCTACTGATTCACTCCCCAAGTGACTGCAATGGTTGGAGCCAAGACGATAAGAAGCCAGGAGCCAGGAGCCTCTTCTGGGTCTCCCATGTGGGTGCAGGGTGCCAAGGGTTTGGGCCATCCTCGATTGCTTTCCCAGGCCACAAGCAGGAAGCTGGATTGGAAGTGGGGCTGCTGGGATTAGAACTTGTGACTATATGGGATCCTGGTACATGCAATGTAAGACTTTAGCTGCTAGGCTACCGCGCCAGGCCCGAGAATTTTTCTTCTGACATCAGGGAGAACGAGAAAAAAGAATAAAATGAGCAAGGTATTAAAAGAAAAAATATTTTGGGCCCGGCGCGGTGGCGCAAGTGGTTAAGGTCCTCGCGTTGCACGCGCCAGAATCCCATATGGGCGCCAGTTCTATCCCAGCAGCCCCACTTCCCTTCCAGCTCCCTGCCTGTGGCCCAGGAAAGCAGTCGAGGACGGCCCAAAGCTTTGGGACCCTGCACCTGCATGGGAGACCCGGAAGAGTCTCCTGGCTTCGGATCAGCATAGCATCGGCCGTTGCGCTCACGTGGGGAGTGAATCATTGGACGGAAGATCTTCCTCTCTGTCTCTCCTCTCTGTATATCCGCCTTTCCAATAAAAAATAATAAAAATAAATCTTTAAAAAAAAAGAAAAATATTTTACGCCAATTAACACTGAGCAAAGCAAAATCGATGCAACTCAAATGCGGCAGCTCTCAGATCCACAGCAAGTCCTGAGAACTTCAACCAACATGATCAGACAACATTTATAGAAAAAAGAAAGAAAGAAAGAAACTCAATTGCCCAGTCAATTGGCTACATAGTCTGAGTAGTTCGCAGCCTAATCATTTAACTTGATAAAATAGTTTCTTCAATCAGGTGAAGCTTGGTGATTAAACTCCTCATTAACCAGGTTAGTCTGTTAAACCCAGTGTAGGCATCCAGTCCAAATCCATGATTTCCTACACAATGTTTATTTAAGAGAGTGAGATCCTCAAAACCCCATGAGGCCTGAATGCCACACACCCAGATATGTTACAACAAGATGCAGCTGTAAATAAGATTCCTAAAGCCCCGCATCTCCACTAGCTCCCTGCTCCCTTCTTACCAATCTCTGCCAGTCCCAGTGCCTGTCTTTCTCAGTCCATCACTTGCCACCCAGTCCACCTGTCATTCTCTGCTCTGACTTATCTGCCCAGTGTAAAAGTGCCTCACCTGTCTCCCTGCCTACTTGCCTTCCTGCTCCCTTCAACCCATCCTGCATGCCATCCCCAAATTAATCCTCCAACCCCCTCCCAACCTCCAGGGGCCTGAATTTTTTCATCTGCCCAAATTGATTCCGGTGGTCTTTCCAAACCTCATTTCTCATGTGTCTGAGAAACAGCCTTACTCTGTTCTCATCAGCTTAGATGGTCTATAATTCCCTAAACATGCTCTATTCAAAACTTAAGTCTCATGGGAAGTTTAAATAGAAGTCAAGGGGCTGGCATCATGGTGCAGCCTGTTAAGCTGCTGCTTGTGATGCCAACATCCCATTGTGAAGTGCCAGTTTGGATCCCAGCTGCTCCGCTTCCAATATAGCTCCCTGCTAAAGAATCTGGAAAGGCAAAGGAAGATGATCCAAGCACTTGGGCTCCTGCCACCTCTGTTGGAGACCTGGATGGAGTTCCAGGCTCCCGTGGCTTTGGCTCAGTCCAAATGCCAGTGCAAGCATTTGAAGAGGAAACTAGCAGATGAAGATTATTCTCTCTCTCTCTCTCTCTCTCTCTCTCTCTCTCTTTCATTTCCTCTCTTCTCTTTTGTTCCTCTCTCTGCCTTTCAAATAAATAAGTAATAAATTTAAACAAAATAGAATCCAAGTCATTTGGCCCAGATGACATGCCTAGAGAACATGTGGAGCAGATTGGGGCTGTGGCAAAACTCTTGAATGCCATCCTGTTCTCACTCTAGGATGCTCCCCTCCATATCTCCCTGTGGGAATCTTATCACCTTCAAGACCATTTCATTCCTGAAGCTTTTCCTGTTCCACCTGAATTTGATAGGTCTGCATTCCAAGCTCCTATAGCACCTTGTTGATGTATTTCACACGGGGTCATGACAAGAAAGGCATGCAATGCTTTACCAGGGTTGGAGATATTGTCTTGAGCCTTTTGGGTCCAGGAGAGCCCCTCACACAGCACTCTCCACATTGCTGACTGCTTTGGGTAGCTTTTCCATACTGACAAAACCCAGCCATAATGGTAGACCCTTAATGGATCAGTTCTTTCTGGCTCTGTGCTATGAGTCTTTGACCAACTGACCAAAAACTATTTTGCAAACTGGGCAGGACTCTGGTATTTGGCAACCAGGTAACATCCAGAGAGATGCAAATCATGATAAGTAGGAGTCACAAAGCAAACAAGGGTGCTTTCAGTCTTTGGAATCTGAAATGTCAACTAGACATGAACGTTGGAGTGTAATTCCCCTCTCATCCTTTGTCTCTCGTTTATGTTGGGGAACCAAGCGTGGGGCAACAAGAATGTGTGAGAGGAAGTCAACTAAAGGAAAGGGGAAGAACTAGTCAGGTTGGTACTTTCCCAAGGCACAAATAGCAGTCTAGGAAAGAAAAATGCTTCCTGGCTCATAAAAGATTATACAAGGATTCTACAGTGACCTGCACGGTGAGACTGCTATTTTTGTGGCACGGGTTCCAATGGTATTCAATGTACTGTCCCTGGTGTGATTTGGGAAAGGGCTGCAAATGCAGGCTGTAATTCCCCACTCAATTTAGCATTTGACTGCACCCCAGGAATAAGCAAAATTGGGCAGTGGGGTTACAACAAAAACAAGCAGGATGGGAGGAGGGCACTTCCACCCTTTGCTTTCCCGGCTTACCTCCTTCCCCGCTGCTCACAGAGGAAAGCTCACTAAGCTGATCATCACTGTCCCCAAGGACAACTGGGCCAAAGTGTGCCCAAGTTCAGCTCCATAAAACCCAGGGAGAGAAAGGCAGAAGGTAGGAGTAGGGGTTTCCTGCTCTGTCACTGCCCCCACCCTCTGTCAGCCTATAAAGAGCCATTTATGTAGGAATAAATCATTACTAAAACTGGATATTCTACTGCTATTGCTTTTTTTAAAAGATTTATTTATTTTTATTGGAAAGGTAGATATACAGAGAGGGGGAGAGACATAGAGGATCTTCCCTTTGATGATTTACTCTTCAAGTAGCTGCAATGTGCTGACCCAAAGCCAAGAGCCAGCAACTTCTTTCGGGTCTCCCACGCAAGTGCAGAGTGCCAAGGCTTTAGGCCACCCTTGACTGTTTTCCCAGGCCACAATCAGGGAGCTGGATGGGAAGTGGGACCATCAGGATTAGAACTGGTGCCCACATGGAATCCCAGTGGGTGCAAAGCAAGGACTTTGACCACTAGGCTCTATCATGCCAGGCCCCTGCTACTGCTTCTTTAGAATCTACCATGTGCCAGGTACTGTTCTAGAGATGGAGGAAGACAGGGAGAAAAGGAGCAAGGAAAAGAAAACAAAAATAGTACCCTACTTTGAAAAATAGTACCCTACTCACAGTCAAAAGGAAGAGACAGTTTGAAACCAGATTCATATGTTCTGGTGGGGATTTCCATATTGCTAAGCGAAAAGCTCGGAAAATAAAGGAAAAGCCTGTGGGAACAGAATTGGGGTTCAAGGAAGGTTTCCACAAAGAGATGAGGTCAGAGCTGCAAGCTGACAAGCATGTAGGAGTCAGACCTATAAGGGTAAGGCAGAGAGTATATGCAGAGAACCACAGAAGCAAAGCTCAGAAGTGGGTGCAGGTTCAAAGCAAAATTCCCCTAAATCCTCCCAGATCTGGCCCGATGCACAACTGTGGTCGGGGGAAGTTGATGAGAAGAGGGAGGATGCTGGTGATACATAATTTAAGTACTAAACCTCAAAGAAGCACATTGAACATAAATGCATAGCCTTTTCCAAGAAGACAAAGAACAAACAACATTTAGAGGGAGTTTAGTTAAAGCAACCAACTGTCTGCCTAATCTCCCCAGGTGGAATCAGATGCCAGGTGGTTTTTCAGTCACAAAGCTGCTGTTCAGGTGGACAGTCAGCAGACAGCACACCCAGGGCCACTGTTTCTATCCTGAACCACACCACAGTTAAGGAATGGATGATGCCATAAGCAATAACACATATGGAACCAAAAAAACCTTTCTCAGCCAACTCAGCTCTGCTGGCAAGTCGCCATCCTGCCTACCAATCAGCACTGGGTCCCATTCCCAGTCCTTTTTTCTGCAAATACAATGGTGGTGACCACATGAACTCTATGGCACAATCCACCCCTTGGAAACTCTCACCTGCATCAACTTCAGTGGCAAGAAGATATGATGCCCGGGTTGGAGGAGGTGGCAACAGCAGATCCCAGACTCTTCCTCACATAGGGTTGGCCCTAAGCACAGTTCCTATCCATGGTTGTATACTTTCCTTGTTCTAGGTCATCTGACAATGGTGGTTGTCAGAGCTTCTCCTAAGTTTCTTACTCAGGAAAGGTAAATGGATCCTGATACAGTTTGAACTCTTCATGTGTTGGGTGGCCTAAGTTAGCAGAAGTTTAGGCTCAGACAATGAACCTGAAAGGAACTAAGGCAGCAGTAGCTCTCCAGTCTTTTTCACTCAGACATGTTTCATCAGTACCTCTGTGCACTACAGTCCAAACTGACACCTGTGTAATTATTTCCTTGTCTCTTTCTACATTCCTGCTTCATGACTAATTGGACAATTTACACACCAATGTAAATTAAATTCATGGAAGTTTCCATCTCAATCCAGTACTGCTGCATGAAAAACATGGGGATAAAGTCAAGAACTGTGAATTCAGTTTACCTGGGGATGCTGGTCAGGTAGGTCATGACATTTAGGAAGTCTTCATCTGTGATGCGTTTGAACCCAGCAAACTCCGGAAAAGTGATGATGGGGGCACCATCCTTCCCTCGACCTCCTGCAACAGAAGTAGGTGGTCAGCATCTTCATTGGCAAAAATATGTTCCCACCACACTTCTGTGGGGACTGCACATGGACTGTCATCAAGTCAGGAGATGTCACGTTGGCCTCCCTTTTCTCTGACTTGGACTAGAGTTTGGAAAAGTTAACATTCAATGATTTCGAACAAGTCTATTTTCTCCTTCATGTTTGTTTGATGGCCTTGTGAAAGAATTCAATTTTGGAAATCTCTGAAGCTATCCAGTCAATAAAGGGTGTTATGAGTTAAGTAGGATTTGTCTTCCTAAAAGCTGCACAGCCATTTAAACTAGGAAGTCTAATGCTAAGGGTTGATGGATGAAGGGCAGATACTTAATCTAAATGGAGTCAGTGAGAGTTATTTGGGGCCATGCCCTCAGAGAATGGTTCTTATTTTTTGCCACTAGGCCACCATCCCAGGCCCGATGGTTCTTATTTTTTAAGATTTATTTTAGCTGTATTTGAAAAGCAGAGTTACACACAGAAGGAGAGACAGATGGAGAAAGACTTCTCATCCAATGGCTCACTCCTCAAGTGGCCACATCAGCTGGATCTGAACCCATCCAAAGCCAGGAGCCTCTTCCAGTCTCCAACATGGGTGCAGGGTCCCAAGGCTCTGAGCCGTCCTTGACTGCTTTCCTAGGCCAGGGAGCTGGACTAGAATTGGCATCCATATGGAGGCACTCGGCCAGTGCCTCAGGTGGAGAATTAGCCTGCTAGGCCCCTGCACCAACCCACAGGATGTTCTTAAGAGGCTTTAATTATTGCAGTTCAAGTTTAGCCTAGGTGTTCTTTCTGTTTTCTGCCTTACCATCTGATCACTGCCCTTGCACCTTACCACAACCATCCTGTGTGAGCTGCCAGTCTAGAAAACCACTCACTCTTGAAACTTGACTGTGAGCTTAAACTCTTTATTTCTCCAAAACACTCCTTTCACAACCAACAGAGGACAAATACAAAAAGCAATATTGATTAAGTAGAATAGCAAACAGTGCTGACACCATTACGTGATATTGTTCAATTCTGTAATCTGTCAATATTAAAGCTAAAATAGCAAAATGATTAAGAGAACTAGCTCTCGGGGGCCAGTACGGTAGCCTAACAGCTAAAGTCCTCACCTTGCATGCTCTGGGACCCTATATGGCTACTGGTTCTAATCCCAGTGGCCCCACTTCCCATCCAGCTCCCTGCTTGTGGCCTGGGAAACAGTCGAGGATGGCCCAAAGCCTTGGCAATCTGCACCCGTGTGGGAGACCTGGAAGAAATTCCTGGCTGCTGGCTTCTGATCAGCATAGCTCTGGCTATTGCGGCTACTTGGGGAGTAAATCATCAGATGAAAGATCTTCCTCTCTGTCTCTCCTCTCTGTATATCTGACTTTGCAATAAAAATAAAGTAAAACTTAAAAAAAGAGAGAGAACTAGCTTTAAAATCCAACAGTTTGGTTCAAATACTACTCTTGTGTAAGCTCTTAACTGCTTATGATTTAGGACAAGATATTGAACCTAAGTAGGTTTTCATGTGTGTATACACATGAGGATAATTAAAAAAAAAATCTGTGGACGATGAAATTAAAAGATAAGTTTAGCTTTGATGCAAAACAAAATTGAAATTCACCTATAAGAGGGGTTTCCTGAAAGTTCATGGGAAACCTGAATTACAGAAAAACTACATATCTTTCAAATTTTTTATGAAAAATTAAAATTAATTCCACTTTTCCATGAACTTTCTGAAGTTCCCTATGTAACAGGAACATTATCTGCATCTACACTGAAACATTTTATAAGGATTAAGTAAGTATCCTATCAGACTGCTGATCCTTTATTACCGCCTGTTGATATAATTTATGTTGTTTCAAGAGGTAATCATCATCTGCCCTTGAAGAACTTAGGAATAGGAATAGAAAACATCCCTGTAAGAATAACAATATCCAATCCATTCAAGCAGGGCCACCAGATTAAATGAAATAGATTCTCTCTCCCAGGTTCCCTGTAGCTGCATGCAGCCACATGACTGAAATCTAGCCCCAGGGCTCCCTAACGGTGTGGCAGGTACTCAGGAAGCCACCAGGAACTCAGAGGAGCATGAGGGACATCTTAAACTTTTTGAGGAAGACATCTGTCAAACACCATGCATACTATCGACCTGAGGTGTGTCACAACTTCAACATTCAATCATTCTTCTATAGGGCACTGGGTCTTTTAAAGCTGTGCTTTTGGTGAATGCTGTGACAGACAACAAATACAACATGAAAATTAATGTGAAGAAAGAAACGAGAATGATGTCTAGTCTGATTCCAAGGCTTGTAACAATTGCAGTTACTTAAGAATAAAAATTTTAAACAAAGTTTAGCTTATGTGTGTCATTTTTTTCAAACAGCTGCTGAGTTGATGAGATATATGCATATTTATATGCTTAAGTTGTTTTAATTCTCAGTTGTTGCTTTAGGCCTCATCCAGGGGTACCGTGAAATAATAACTGAGAGGTGGGGTCTGGCACAGCAGTAAGAAGGATACTTGGGATGCCACCATCCCATAACAGAAAAAGCACTGGGTTCAAGTGCCAGATCCACTTACATCCTCGCTGTTCTCAGTGCCATCCTATCTCAGTCAGTCATTAACGAGAACGGCACTGAGAACCCCGAGTATTCGGGAAGCTCTGCACCAGTCAATGAGACAGGAAGTGTTGCCCACACCTCACAGACTAAGTCCTAACATGGAGGCCACTTCAAGTGTTTAACAATGGCTCCCCAGGACAGCCAGCTACAAACAGTTGCATGTGTTTACCTGTCTAAGAAAAATCTATCTGTCCGGTGTGGTTTAATGAGGATCTGGCATTCAATGAAGAAGCCACAGCAAAGGAAGACTCAAGAGAAACAAGGCAGGCAGTATAGCACCCATGGCAAGGGGAGAGGGCTCTAGCCCACCACAAGGACCCAAGCAGTCAGCCTACCTGGTGACAGCACCAGCACACTCTCTATGCTAACGCCAAACCTCCTAAGAATCTTCTCTTCTCTCTCTCTTTTTAAGGTTTGTTTTCCTTGAAAGAGTTATAGAAAGACTGGTAGAGAGAAATATGTTCTATCCACTGGTTCATTCCCCAAATGCTCTAACAGCCAGTGATGGGCTGATCAGCAGCCAGCAGCTTCATCTGGGTCTCCCACAAGGGCACAGGCCCAAGGCCTTGAGCCATCCTGCACTGCTTTTCGCGGCCATTAACAGGGAGCTCGACAGGAAGTAGAGCAACCAGGATTCAAATCAATGCCCACATGAGATGCCAGTGCTGCATGCCCATGATTAGCCTGCTGTCTCCCACATTCTTCTGTTTCTAATCCAGCTTTTCCCCGTGAATTAGTTCTAAGAAACAGAATGTGCTCACAAGTTAACATGAGTATAAAGAGTAAGATAACATGGTGGATTTTCTACAGGCATCTCCTGTGGGTTGTTAATCTGGATTTTGAGCGCTCAGAGACCAGCTGCCGTGGGAAGAATCCACATGACTATTTAAATGGGGAGGCATCCTCCTCCAGGAAGTGCCTCTTTGTTAATCCTGTGTGCTTATTTTAGGTTACCCAAAAAGATACTTGCAAATTCGATGATTGTCAAGTTTTGACAGGGATATAATTAGCTTCCTCACGGTGGTGACTGGTGAATAGGGCGTTACCAACTTTCCCCCAAATGTGCTTCCTCTTTTCGGTTTCGCCTCTATAGGAAGTTTCAGAAAAATGTGAAGGGTATTTGTTCCCTCCAGTAAGGCTCTATGTATATGCAGCTACCATGTCATTGATGTGTAACCCACATTTGGTGAGGGAATGGCTGGAACAGTTCAAAGAACCAAACACCAAAAGTTTTCATTAGGATATGATTATGTCATTTGGTTTTACGTTTAATAGTTAACTAAAGTAAAGCTATTCCCATCTGAATGGAAAAAGTGAGATTTTCCTCTCTCGTGGTTATTATCAACATTGAATACAGAAAAGGCCCTAAAGCTAACTGCCAGAGCTCATCTGCTATTGAATATGAATCCCAAGAGGCTTAAGCCTCAAGGAAACTGCTAGACCCACATACAATCATTAACAACCCACAGCAGGTGTCTATTGCCACCTTGTGAGTACACATGGTAATGCAGGAGAAAGAAAGGTGCCAAAGTCTTAATTTGAGAGGAAGACAGACTCCTAAAGTATTTGCTACTAAGTAAAAAGGTGTGTTAAATAAAATGAACTGTGCCCAGTGACCTAGTGGCTGAGGTCCTCACCTTGCACGTGCCCGGGATCCCATACGGGTGCCGCTTTGTGTCATGGCTGCTCCACTTTCCTTGCAGCTCCCTGCTTGTGGCCTGGGATGGCAGTTGAGGACACCCCAACGCCTTGGGACCCTGCACCCATATGGGAGACCCAGGGGAGGCTCCTAATTCCTAGCTTTGGAATGGCTCAGCTCTGTCCATTGTGGCCACTTGAGGAGTGAACCAAGGGACGAAAGATCATTCCCTCTGACTCTCCTTCGCTCTGTAAATTTGACTTTCTAATTAATTAATTAATTAATTAATTAATTAATAAAATCTTTTAAAAATAAACTTCACTCTCAATACTATCTGTACCTTCCAGTCACATGGACAATAACTAGCTCTGCTGTAGAAAACACTATTAAGTCCATGGAGTGCATAGGGTGATTGCCACAAGCATGCAGATGTTGGCTGGTGGGAGGCTTCAGTCACAGAGCAGAAGTTGAAATTCTGGGGGATCCTACAAGAAGGCAGTGCAAACACAAATGGGAAAGAGAGCCATAGCTCTTTCTATTTACTGCCAGTTTCCACTTCCCCTCCACCTCTCAAGAACTACTCTTACAACTATTCTCTGGAAAGGGCTTTGGAAATGGCAGCGCCCGAGATGTAAATTACCTGTTCTACATAAAAACAAAAAGATAACTGTCCCACAGTCTGTGACTTCCAAATGGCTTTCCAAAGGCTAGGGTAAGTGGAAAGTTCATTTACCATGCGTTGAACCTGGACTCTACATATGTTTTCACAGAGTCATAATCTGTAAATAAATTTAATGTATACTAATTTTTCAGGAATGCAACTACTATGCAAATTAAAATTAATAGAAAGAATATTTTCTTTTTTTTCAGAACTTCACCAACAACCGATAACCATTTTATAAAATCACTAGAGTAAGGGCACTCAGGATATCTCATCACTAACAACACATCTCAGTACTTTGCATCTTTCAGAGTTATTGCCTGATTCCAAATACAGGGCACACTAGTTCATTACTACTTCTAGTGTAGCTACAAAACACACATTGAAATATATCCCATTTTACTGTCATCATTTTCAGTTTCTCATTTGCATTTTTTAATATTTTTAAAGCACACTGGATAGGTTACAGGTGATTGCTCCCCTATGTTTTCTCTTCTTCCTGGCCATTCCTAAACTAACTCCAGCTTCCTTTACTGATACGCATCTCCCCCTGACTAAGCCAGGTGCCAGTAAATGAAATGTGCTGAATGCTACCTCTAAGCCAGGAAGCTAAGAAGCATCATGTTCTTTCCATGGTCTCTTACCCGATCTGCTTTCTGGATGGAGATAAGAAGGCCACAAAGAGAATAACAGCAATAAGAGCCACAATGTGACCAAAGCTCTCATTCCCAAGCCTCTCCAAGGAGAAAAATTGGCTACTGACAAGCAGCAATCAAGCTGACCCCACCTTCTACCATCACAGAAAATTAAACGCTTGCCTCCTCACAGTTCTGGTATGAGACATAAGAAGAAATCAGGGACACCATTAACTTCTGATGTTACAAAGCAACCAATCAATTTAAGGGATTTTGCTAGTCAAGAATTTAACCTAGTGTCCTGCACTATGGCTCAGTGGCTAAATCCTCACCTTGCAAACTGCAGAATTCCTTATGGATGCCAGTTCGTGTCCTCCTTAATCCACTTCCTATCCAACTCCTGTGGCCTGGGAAGGCAGAGGAGGATGGCCTGAGGCCTTGGGACCTGCACCTACATGGGAGCTCCAGAAGACACTCCTAGCTCCTGGCTTTGAATTGGTTCAGCTTCTGCAGTTGTGAACACTTGGGGAGTGAATCAGTGGACAGAAGATCTATCTCTCAGTATCTCCTTTTCTTTGTCAATCTGCCTTTCCAACAAAAATAAATAAGTCTTTAAAAGAAGAAGAAGAAGATTTTAACCTAGATTAACCTGGATCTCTTAAAGCTGAATACTTCTATTGCGTCTCAGGGTGATCAACTCATTCTAGCTTGTCAGGGACAGTCCTGGCTTTAGTACTGAATGTCCTGCATTTTGGGAAATCTTTCATTCTTGGCACAACAGTGTGTCTAGTGAATCTGGGTGGTGGACAAGAGGTCAGTGAGGAGACACAAAGAGGGGCACAGATGACCCTTAATCTTGTTGGGTTGGGTTGAACTTTTTTCCAATCTAGTTACTACAAAAGGCCAAAGATATGATCAAGTCCTTGGATGTTTAACTTTACAGTTTAGTAATTGGTAAGAAAAATTACAACTCTAGCGATTTTCCGAAAGAAGCCAAATTGGACACAGTGGAAAGTAAGAAGGAAGACAAAGCTTTGGGAAAGGCTGGCTTCACACTTTTAGGCAGAAAACACCCTGCTTTCCATTCCTGCCCAGACTCCACTCCCTGGCTACACCTGAAATTATCTGTTGGACTTGTTTTGCATGCTGCTTCTTTTTACAAGAATAAAATGGTTTTTTTTCTTTTTCAAATCTATTTACTCTAAAGTCAGAAGGAGTAAAAAAAGAGAGACATATCTTCCATCCACTGGTTCACTCCCCAATGACCACAATGGCCAGAGCTATGCCTGTTCCGAAGCCAAGAGCCAGAAGCTTCTTCCAGGTATCCATGTGGGTACAGGGGCCCAAGGACTTGGGCCATCCTCTGCTGCTTTCCAAGCTACAGTATCAGGGAGCTGGAACAAAAGTGGAGTAGTCAGGATTTGAACTAGTGTTCATATGGGAAGTCAATGGCGGTGGTGGCAGCACAAGGCTGGCCCTGCTTCAATTTGTTATTAATCACCAGGTTAAGTTCCTTGAGAGGCTGAGTCTCAGTTATCATTGCAGACTCTGGCATACTGCAAGTTATCTGTTAATTGTCAGTTAATTGCATGAACAAATAAATGATGAGTTTCTTTCCCATTAAAAAAAAAGAAAGAAAGAATCAGAAAATTTTGTTCTCCTGGCAACTGGAACAGAAGCAGGCAGCATTCCTCCTTTTCCTTCTTTCTGCTTTGGATACAGATTCAATTTCTGGAGCTGTCAGTCACCTCAAGAACAAGATTCAACAAACAAGAAGGAAATACCAAGAGGATCATAAAAGTTCCAGGTTTAATGTCACTGAGCTCCTGACCCTTGAACCACGTCCTGACCCCCATCAACCAAGAAATCTACCTCCAGACCCCATATTATGGAGCTTAAAACCTAAGCAAGCCCTAGAGGCCTATTCTCCCATAGTCATGTGCCATGGTTTCTTTGTAACAGCCCTCTTCTAGCCTTATGTTGAGCACCAGCAGTACACCCAGAAATAAGCAAAACACACTCCCAGAGCTTCCAGTGACTATATCAGCACTGACAAATATGAACGAGAATTCAGAGAACGTTCTGGATTGTATACAATTTGCCAACCTAGAGTGTAATTCTGGGATGAGAAGGAACATCTGTGTATAGATTGCATTTCCCTCAAATAGTAGCAGGAGGAGTGAACTTATAGAGTGAAATTCATACTAGCTGCATATTCTCTTTGTGATATAACTCAGCTGACTTTATCTCTTATTTTAGAGCAGGGGTAAAAGCTAAAGAAACAATAACTTGCCACCAGTCTTAGCTTTTCATTAATATAGTAAAATACCTGAGGCAATTTAGAAAGAAAAAATTAGGCTTATGTAACTCTCAGTTTGGAACCTGAAAGTCCAAACAGCAGCACATAGGTTCTTATGAGGACCCCATGAAAGGTGAGGGAACTGAGCGTGGGAGGAGGAGGTCACACCTCAACATAAAAGCCAGGGAGACCAAGTGTAGCCAGTCACAGCTTTTATAACAACTTGTTGTTGGCTGAGCTACCAAGCAAGGAATCCCAGCAGACCCACCTTCACTCCTTTTGACGGCACAAATGGCCTGTACCCTAGGCTTCTCCTCTCAAAGATGCCTCCATACCTCCCAATATCACCACCACAACTCTCCCTAGTCCTCTATGAATTGTACTGGAGACATCTGCTCTCAATATGGCATGCTTCCAAGAAGACAACTTTTCAGGGTTTGTGACTAAGTTTGAAAACATCTCTAGCCTTTTATCAATATCAGCTGCACCTACAATCAAATGTTTGATGAAAAAATATATATCTCTAAAAGATCTAAGAATAGAAACAACTTCACCCACACTCATGAGCTTTAAAACAAAGACACAATTCAACTAGATCCTGGAAGACTATCCAACAAGGATACTGAAAGAATGTCACAGTGGCAGCTGATGACAGCAGTTCATCATCTTTCCATTCTCAAAAATCTTCTCAGCCCTGTGCTTTGCAACCAAGGAAAAATAATCCCCTGGGAAAAGTCAGATTGCACTCAAGCAGATGGAAGAGCATCTGCAAACCTACCCTCCTCCAGCAGGACAGCTGTCAGCCCACTTGGTCCTGGGAAGCTGCAAGATATGGCTGCTTGGGAAACCCAGAGAGACAGCAGCACTGTCCCTTGTTCACCCAGGCTCAGGGCACACCTCCCCACCCCAGCCCTCCCAGCAGGAATCCCCATGCCCACAAATGGATGTGCAGCTTACCCGAAAGAATGGCGAACTGTCTGTGAAGTTGTTCTATTATATCCACTGCCACCAACGGCCTGACCTCCTGCTGCATAATTTCATCTGCACAAAGAAAACAGAAATCTGGTTAAATCCTTGCACGCATGCTGCCAAGAGAAATTGCAAACAAAGAAGAAAGATTCCACTACTGGGAAATCTTGGGCTTGTTAGGATATGGTCATTACGGGCATGCAGAGTCTGACATGCACAGCCGCATCTGGAGTTTATGTGGCTTGAAGCTGACACACATGAGCAGGAACTGCATTCTAGAGCCCCTCCCAAGGTTTACAGAGGGACAGTGTGAGGAAGTGGTCCTGAAGTATAAACTTCACATCAACTCCCAACAAACTGCTGTAAGGTCTCACAACTATGGCAGGTGTCTACCTACTGCTGTAATTTTGCAAAGAACATTTTTGTAATTGATGTATAATAACTGTTCATATTTACAAAACACAGTGTAACATTTCAGTATGTGGATACAATGTACAATAACTAACTCAGGTCAATTAGTAATTGTATCAGCAAATATTTTTTTCTTTTCCTGATATTGAGAACACTGGAAATAGATTGTTAAATGTCATCAACCAGAGTTTCCACACCAGGCTGTGGAACATGAGAAATTGTTACCCTTTTCCCTGCAGCCCTAGACTCCTGACCAGATTTTTGCTATCCCCGCCTGCCCTTCCCAGCCTTGGTCAACCACCATTCCACTCTCCTTCCGTGAAGCTGCAGAAGAATGTTTCAAATGCATCATAAGTCACCATAGCTCTCCTCAGGAGGCATCACACAGTCCATCTGGAGTTGGTGATGTTCTTTGGCTTTGATTTCCCTCTCTGTCTCACTTCGTTCCTTTCTCCCTCCCTTCTTTCATATGTCTCTTTCTATGTTGCTTTCTGCCTTGCAAAAAAAAAAAAAAAATCATTCCAAAAATTTTTTTAAGAATTAACAACAACAAAAATAAGAATTCTTTTCATTAGAATTAGTACTTGGCTTGTGCCCCACATTGGAGTGGCTGGGTTTGATTTCCACATGGGCAAAACAACCTTACACTGAATCGCATGGATTCTGTATGGAGTGATGGTAATATCATGCTATTCTGGGGCTGGCATTGTGGTGCAACAAATCAAATGGATGACTGAAGTGCTCACATCCCAGTTCAAGTCCCTGCTGCTCTACTTCCGACCCAGCTCCCTGTTATTTCTCCTTGGAAAATAGCAGAAGATGGTCCAGATACTAGGGCCCCTACCACCCAGGTGGGAGACACGGACAGAGTTCCTTGCTCCTGGTTTCATCCTGGCCCAATCCCAGTCACTGCAACTACTCGGACAGTGACCAGGAAATAGAAGCACTCCCTCTCTCGTAATTCTGCCTTTTAAGCAAATAAATAAAATCTTTATTTTAAAAAAGACATGATGTTCTAATGCTGATCAGTCTGAAGTGATATCTGGGGAGTTCTTGGCTTTGGTGTGAAGGTTACAGGAGATGATGATGAGTAAGAATATGTACACAAGCAGTGTGCGGTAGACACTACTTTGATCTATTGCTCTGAATGGACAGTCCTTTACCATATTTGCTTTCTCAAGGTCCTTAAGGGGTGGGTCCAGCACCAGCTTCAGCAGGGAAGATCCTCCTCCATGCCTTCTACCACATTTCTGGAGGAAGGTGTAAGGAGGAAGATTCCTGTATCCCAACACTCCTTCCACCAGAAATCACTAAAAATCCAAAGAATTCTTACCTTGCTATTTTTTTTAAAGATTTATTTATTTTTATTACAAAGTCAGATATACAGAGAGGAGGAGAGACAGAGAGGAAGATCTTCCGTCTGATGATTCACTTCCCAAGTGAGCACAACGGCCAGTGCTATGCCGATCCGAAGCCGGGAACCAGGAACCTCTTTCTGGTCTCCCACGTGGGTGCAGAGTCCCAAAGCTTTGGGCCGTCCTCCACTGCTTTCCCAGGCCACAAGCAGGGAGCTGGATGGGAAGTGGAGCTGCCGGGATTAGAACCGGATCCCAGCAGGTTCAAGGCAAGGACTTCAGTCGCTAGGCCACGCCGCCGGGCCCTTACCTTGCTATTGAGTGTGTGTTAAAAAGGTGCTGTAGTTACATTTTACAAAATGGGTAGCCTTCTCAAAGAAAAATACAAAGCAAATTATCAATAAAATGATGAGAAATCTGATTCATCTAAAAATACTACAGCACTCTCCCTGCCTAAAGTGGGGAGGGGTTATCAAATGAAAACAATCTGATGAACTGTGGATCATCATAGAAACTACCTGATGGCCCCATAGGGGTTCTTTGTATAATCCGTTTGTATAATAAAATGTAAAATACACATGGATAACATGGATAATTTTGGCCAACAAGGTGTTTAACATAACTACAGAAATTTTCAGACTACAATTTTCCCATGGTTTAGGAAGTGGCATTATCAAAAGGGAAGGTTATTATTTGTCAAATCTCCAGGAACATAGTGAAGAGACAGTAAACCCCCAAAAAAGCAAAAATCCTAAGATACAATATATCGTTCTTATACCTTAATATTTGAGGTGAGGTGAGATCTAAGGCTTTAAATTTAACACCTAAAACTACAAACTCTGAAAGGAACAACGGAAATGAGCTAAGCCAGTCATTTCCTACCTTCCCCATCTCATTTTATTCCCCATAGGTTGATAATGGAATCCCAGAAAGACTGGGAACTTGCCTGTGGTTATACAACAGCAGCAAGTGTGGGCCCTGGACCACCTGACCTGTAAGGGATATGGGATCTCCAGACCTGTGCCCTAAGCTCTGCAGATCCCACATCCCTGACCTTGATCAGTGGAGGTTCCTGCCATCTGCTGGTGAGTGTCTTTCACCTTAGGAATCTGAAGCCTGCCTAAGCATTCAGGCAGGATCCTTTCTCCCCAGCCTCATGCTTCTGCCACATGAACAGCACTAACATTCACCAGTTGTTTTTTTCCTAAGAATAGAAATGTGCTGGTGCCCAGGCTTTACTGCACCCAGTCCAGGAGGGACACAGCTTATTCTGGAGGTCTCCTCAGCAAAAAAAAAAAAAAGAAAGAAAGAAAGCAACAATAACATAACACGCATAATCCCTAACTGAGCCATCTATGTCAGAATCATAGGAGTTCTCAGAATACACATCTGACTTGGACTGGAGAGGTGTCTGTAAGTACTCCCAGCTTGTAGGGATGCCCATACTCATGGCCCTGTTATGAAAGGGGCATGCTTAGTTCTGCCCCAGCCAGGGCACACTGCTAACCAAGAGACAGAAAGCCAGTCCTGCTGCCTGATCCCATATCGAGGCATAAGGGAAATGACACAGAAGCTCTGTGGACCTAATGCAGCATCCATCTGTGGAGAGAGGGATTTTCAGACACAGAAGGGTACATCCTCCCCACCTTTTAACCAGTCAGCCAAGACATGGGCACCAGGCCTCCTTCCCCTTCTCCCAGGAACAGCCAAGCATCTCCCATAAGTCACCAAGGCCCTGGTGCCTATTCCACATCTGCCCTGGCCTGATCACCCTCTGTGGAGTCTTCCTGCTTCCTCTTGTCTATATTTGGTGTGTGTGGATGAGGGGGAAAGTTGTCTGTTCATAACTTACACGCAAAGGGAAGTGATAGTTCCACTTTAACCTAATTTTTGTGTTGGGCAATGTCACAGATACACTAGTGGAAAATGCCATGTTAAGTAACAGATTGAGACTAGTGTGGTGAGTAGTAAGTCAAATGCTACAGTAACAAGGCAGAGAGAGCAGAGTTAGATTTATTCAATATGCTTTAAGAGAGCAGCATGCAGCAAAGACAGCTAAAAACTGACTGGTGCTGCTACACGGACTTGAATAAAAGAGCATACTATAACCGCAGTATCTTTGCAGTTAGGATGAGTTTTCCCATGACCCAATAGGTTTCCCCAGGTAAGTGATTTGCATTCTTGGTGGGGGCTCTAACTTTGTGGCTTTTCCAGAGTCTTGGGGCAACCCTCTACAAAAAATATTTGTCTCTTTTATATTCATTGAATGATCCCCTACTGAAAAATGCTTTCACTAAAGATGGTCCAACTTCTTGATGCTGTTAAAATAATAAACATTCAGTAGAAATTGTACTTCGGATTGTTAGCTATTCCTGGGCTGCCGGTAAACAGTGCAGTCCTCTCTCATGATGTGGGCCAGGACAGGAGCTCCCTGTCAGTCCTGAAACCACAAGAGAAATCCACCCACACATTATGCTGCATGTTCTGTAGAGCAAGCACATTCAGTGAATCTTTTTTTCACTTTAGTCTTTTAAACTTGTGATGGGTTGAACAGGGTATGAAGGACATCTGCACAGAAGTGGGACTCTCTTATATTCCAGAAATGCAGAAGACATCAAAAGCTACCCTCAGCATCCCTGGGTGATGTGACAATCACTCAGCGTGTCCCATCAGAACCCAGCCATGGGCAGCAAGTGACACCAATGTGTCATTCACTTTTTAGTTGGAGAAGGCAACATGGCTTGTGAGGCAGGGCTGTCCTCCCTTACATCAGAGACCAAGAAACAGTTGGTCCCATGCAAGCACTTGCTGAGTATCACAGTTGATCAGGGATAAAGGACAGTGAGACCCCAGTCTCTCTTATTGCTCTGAAATTTCTGCTACACCATCATCAAATGACTCAATTATGCTTGAGAGTTTACAAAACAAGAAACTAATAACTAAGTAGGTAAAAGATGTATGGCTGAGGGTAGAGTGGAATACCAAACCAAATTTGGCAGCCCCGTGACAGTCCTGTTTTACCCAGAGAAATCAGCTAAACAGAAAGAAGAGTTCCAAACTGGGAGCCAAACTAGGGCTAAGCCACTGGGCTTGGGACAGCAGCCAGGCAGCCAACGGCCAGCTTGGCCACTATGGGCACAGTGTCTCAGCCTCTCTGGGAATCACAGTAATAGAGCAGCAGCTGTGAGCCAGCTTCCCACACAGCACTTTGCAGACTCACTGCTTTCATTAGGTAAATGACAGAAAATGAATGCACTCTAGCGCTCAAAGGCACCTCTTCCAGCCCACCCCACCCTCTCACCCCCT